ATATCAGGTTGTATTCTAATTAAAATTATAACTAGTGCAGCTTAAGTAGGGCATGTGTTATATTAGTCTTATTAATCACTTCTTATATATAATATACACATAGCAACCATAAAATATGTATAAATAATAAAGAATTTGTAAAAATAAAAATAAATAAATATTAAAAATAATAAATGAAAAGAAAAAGTATATATATAAATAAAAGGGAAAATAGGAACCAATTAGTATAACTCGAGTGACATAATGGAGAGTTAGGAATTGTTTTAGTTTAGTGAGATTTCTCATCCGGCTCCTTTTGATGCTATATGTTAGCCATGACAAAATTAGTTTTATTCTTAAGTTTTCAATTTTTCGTGAAATCTGATGTAAGTGTCCACATTAAATCTTAATCTACTAAAAATACAGTAAAAAATAATTTAAAAAAAAAAACAGTGGTTGTTGCTTGCAAAACTTCAGTTCCTCTTAATATCAACTAATTATTACTTATTGCTTTATTACTTTTAACCTTTACACAATAAACTAACTAGATATTTAGCTGATTTTTTTTTAAAGGAATAAAAATATATGTTTTGTATATTTCATCAATTTATTTAATGTCTGGTTTGTTCTCATAAATATACAAATTTGTTTACCTATTATGCCTTTTCAGTATTTATTTTTTCAAGACAAAAGTGAGGAGTAACAAAAGTGAATAGTAATGACAATAAAAAAGGTTTAATTTAATGGTACATTGTTATTATTTTTAATATTTGGAAAATGAAACGCTTATATTCAATAACAAGATTTTGATAAAAGATCTTGTGTTTAATTGCTGATTTCTAATTTAGTTTTTATTAAAAGAATGAAAAAAAAATCATTTAACACGTTACATTAAGATACGAGTATAACGAAGTATTAACATTATCAAATAATGTCTGTTTAAATCCACGTCATTTGGCACAATCCAATGGTAAAACTCTTTAACATGTTTTTCGCACTTCACTTCGTAGAATTACTAGGCAAATGAGTTATTAGGAAATGAGGCTATGTAGTCAATACTTTCTAATCACCGTCATACAGGGACGATTATATTGGTAATGACTTGCCAGTATTTTTTTTCTGGTCTGTAATTAAAACATTTTATTAGTAAAGCATGGCGGTATTTTTATTTTTATCTGATATTTTAAAATATAATATTTAGTCGAGAATCAGGCAAGATAATATTTAAAAAAAAATGTATATTCTTGCATAAAACAAATTTTCGACCGTATATTGTAGGTCCTATATATTATTAATATACATATAAACAATACACAGCAACTTAATTATTACAACTTCTTATTATTTAAATGAATGGCCACTTGTTATTAGACACAATACCTCTTGATAGATTATCTACTTGAATAAATGAATAAATTAAATTATGTTTAAAACATTTGTTGGAAACTGTATTAAAATATTATTAAAAAAAAAAAAACGTGGGCCTTATGCCTGTTTTTCTTTTTTTTAAATTTCTTTGTCAATCAAATATATTATCCTTTTGTTTTTAAATTTTTATAATTTTTTTTAATCTATAATAATCATTATAATTAATGATGTTGACACATGGTGATTGCTAATTGTTTTTTCGTTTGACAAACCTTTTACTCAAATTCATTCCCTTTCTACTGTCAGAGAACGAGTCCGTGTGGCAACTGAATTCGACCAGTTGAAGCAATAATAAATTTTGTAATGTTTATTTAGTTGTGTTGTATGAAAGCCGGACTGAGCTTTCAATTCCAGATTTGATTGATTGGCTTATTGTATTTTTTTTCTTTTTGTATGCCTCATTTAGCTAAGATGATAAATTCTTCATTCCATAAAGAAGAAATTTGTGAAAAAAAATACTGATATTATAAGGGAGTCTGGTTCGTTTCTTATAGTCTCTTGTTTTTTTTTTATGACAATATATGTTATTTAAATAAATAAAATTTGATGGTGTTAAACTTTTATATTTTTATTTATTTTTGCAGCAATAGTGTTGTGTTCATTTTATGGTATATATGAATTACCACAGTAGACTTATGAATAAAAACATCAATTAATCAGTATTTCATTTCCAATTTTTAAATTTGGTTATACAGAGCATCAATTTAAAGCCTTTAAAATAAATAATTTTGAATGGATAATTATGCATAATAATTAATAAACAATTGATGATATTTGACCAACGAATCGCGACCGTTTGCCAACAAATATAAACGGGCATGACAAAATTATATTTATTCTTTTTCTACATTTTTTCAATTTAATTGAAAGGGACAAAGCAGTTTTAAAAAAATAAAAATAATACTTTATTTACACAGTATTATTTACGTCTTAGTTTTCATTTTAGTTTTGAAAGAAATATATTTTAATTTTACTGATCAAATTTAATAACTTAACATGTTCTTAGGAATTAATTTCAGAGAGTTGATTACAAATGATTTAAGTTTTTACTGAAGAGGAATATAATATAATAATTTTATTTCATTTTTGAAAAATCTAAATTGACCAACGATAACGTAAACGAAAGTATACAATATATATGTTTCTTAAAGCTTCCCATGTTTGTCGCTTTACTGTTTTAACCATTGAAAACCATCAATATGTTTTATCATAGTTACGGTAGCACCAGGTCTCTGGAGTTGCTCTGCAGTAAACATTTAATTATATAATTAATTTATTAGATATTATAAATATATTGTTTTAGTCGTTCGCTAGAGAATCCTTCATCAGTTCCATTTTCGAATATCAGGTGCAGTGGATGTTATCATATTTTTTTTTATTTATAATTTTATCGATTTGTATGACATGGATAGATCTGTGCATTGAACGAATATCATTTTTATTCGATTATATGTAATATAGTTAAAAACCTAAACACGAATTTATAGACACTTGCATTGGTAAACACATGATTTTTACATCCTATATGAATTATTTTTATTTTGTATTTTTGTACTCTTCGCACTCATTCACCTTAAAAGTACGCTTCTGACAAGATGTTCCTTACAATGACCCGTCTGTCATTTTATTTATTAACTGGGTAAATATATTTGTTTGCTAGATTCATTTTTCATTCCTTATTATTTTACTAATTAATTTATTATATCTCTTATGGAGTCGATTTGTACGTTTTACAACAACATTCTCTCTTCCATGATAAACTCATATTATTTAATTCAAATAAATTCTAAAACCATTTTCCTGGTCGAGTTACGAAAACTGTTATTGGATTAATAGCCGTAGTTTCATTACAAATATATCAATCATGTCAAACAGCTTATTCCATTTCTAATTATTAAAAAATTAATAATTGCATTTTAAATACTGTTGCTATCACCAATAAAAATATTCTAAAACTGAATAATGATGTCTTAAATAATCATAATTTTAAATATTTAAATTATTGAATTTAATTTTTGTGTTTGATCTAGGTTTGTTTAAATCCATAATTTATGGTACAGTTCAATTTCATAACTTTTTTTCCTTTGATTTTTTCTTCCAGTTTACCACACACTAAGTTTGGTTTTCTTAATTAGCAAAAATCTTAAGTGAAGTGTATGCACATTTTAATGAACGTTATCAAATAAAAAGTTAATGTATGGATTATCATGTATGTGTGATGTATGATAAAAAAAAAATTATGAAAACAAACGATAAATCCTCGTAATTAACTTCCATTTTTAGATAACCTGTTGTGAAAGGGGGAAAAAAAGCTTAAACCGAGATGAATTATCTGATGTAGTAACCGGTTCCCCAGTCAGTAGACGATTTTATGTAACTGTTCCGATAGCAGTTTCGCATAAGCGACGATATTGTTCCGAGATCTTAATTTTTGTTAACATATTTTTCCATTTATGCATAGCACACGATATTTTGTGATTCATCAACTTAAAATTTGAGAGATAAAAATATTAATTTACTTATGGACCTAGTAGAAAATTATTGAATACTGTTTTCATAGTTCAGGTCCTTTTTTTGTGATCAAAAACGAAATAATTTGATATCATTTTCTAAAAAAAAAATTTTTTTAAAAATCGGTTCATTACACTTTTTATCATTACTAATAATCATAATTTTATACAAAGTAACAGGTTTTCATGCTTTATATATATGGCGCATTTATAAACAAATGCCCATATGTCATAATGTCTGTGGGTGGATTGTGTATTTAAATAAATAATTTATGTTATTATTACCAGGAGTGCCCTTCCAGCTAAGGTCGAAGACGCATGAACATCCTCCCTTCTCTGCTCAAGAACCTCCTATTTTATTGCTCTCCTCTTCTTAACATTAGGAATTAAAGTACCGTAAATCATATACAATCACACTTGCTAAGGTTTGCTCTATATATTCCCTTTGTCTCCTTTGAAACTTTTCAATCCAAAAATTCACAACCCCGTCGAAATGCGCCGCTCCTCAAAAACTCAAAATCTCGTAACAATGTGCTTCCCCTCTCAAAAATTGTTATAGCGCAACTTGTGGTCACCCCTGGTTATTAGAATATTTTTAGTTATATTTTATTTGAAAATTTATCATAATTAAGAAGCCTCAAAACAATATTTATATGATGAAATATTGTGAATCAATTAGTTTTGACTTTTAAAAATATAAGTGAAAAAAAATCATAGAAAACTGTTTAAATATGTGAATGAAATATCTTTTTTAATTTAGTATTAAGTCTCCCTCAGTTTATTGTTGCTAAGTTGATTAATAAGTTCTAGAAGCTATGGTTGATTTAGAGTAAAATAATTGTTTACGTAGTTAGAGAAATTTCAAATTTTAATAATATTTTATAACTTAAATAAGCCACCTTAAATATTAAAATCGAAATCGACAAAGTTTGTAGATAATTTTTAAGGGTTATAAGCGAAAAAAATGGTTGTTTTTGTTTAATATTTTATTATAAAAATAAAAAAAATTATATTTACATGTTTGATTTGTGAATTGTTTTCATCAATCACAAATATTACTAATGTTTTAGTCACTACATGAAATTAGTAGTGATGGTCGTGGTGGTGCTTGAAGAAGGTCTCTTTAGATCCTTCCACATGGGGATGGACAGCGTGTCCTTTCCTCTCTACGACGGCGTTGAAACCGTTCTTCTTGTCTGCGGTGTAGTGGACGATCCTCTCGGTACCATCGGGTTCGTAGAGGGAGTAGTAGCCCTTGACCACGTCTCCTTCCCTGGTCTCTTCCTGCTTCTTCACGTCGTGGGTGTGGGAGTCGTGTACTCCGTAGTCGAACTTGTACTTTGGTGGGGCCTATGACATAAATAATTTTTTTTGCTTGTTCTTGATAAAAATATGTATACATAATTATGGATGAATCAAACTTACATAATGGTCGACAACATGCTCTTCGTGGTGGCCGTGATGTCCGTACTGTGCGACGGCGACTCCAACGATACAGAGAACTACCAAAGCCTAGAATAATCAAACAATTACATATCAATAATCAGTTCTGGAAAAAAACTTATTTAAAATATTCGAGATCCGATGTGTTCACCTTGTACATGGTTACCGGTTCGTGGAACTTTTGGAATTAATGCTTCTGGTCCCTTCGCCTTCTTTTATACCAATCACTCCTCCCAGTTCTGTTGTTCTCGGTTCGATGTTTTGTTATCTATGTCGTTGCTCCTTTCTATATTCAACTTCGTTTCGGAATATATTCCATTTCCTGATTTGATAATTAGTTACCTCTTTTGTATTTTAAATTAGTGTGGGGTATTTCGGAAATTATTGTATTTCTAAAATTCTTGATAGTAGTAGTAAAACTCAGTATGTATCGATTTTTAAACAATTTTTTTTTAGATAATAATTTTATTTATTGTTGGAAAACCTTAAATACCTATTTCTAAATTTAAAAAATGATATATACTTGCTGAAATTTTATTTTGATTAAAATTTCAATTTTTAAAAATTAAGAACAGTTGTAGTGAAGCGTTAGGTGCTTACCTATGCAATATATGATGTATAAACGTGCAATCATTAAATTATTCGAATTCTTTATAATGTATTTTTTAAGTACACATTTTTTTTTTCACTCATCAACGACCTAGTCTAATGGTGTAGGTGTATATAGAAAAATGAACGAAGTTTGATTTGGCTTATTTTTGTACAAACATGTCATTGTTACTTTTAGATACCTTCTTATAAAATTTTAGATAGGAATTTTAAACTTCATTTTTTTAAACAACAACAGTTTTTACAGACCAACGGATTTAACATAATTACGAGATTGGTTTAAACTCTCATTTAGGAAAATCAAAATAAAGACAAATCAAAGTGCATCACGTGAATTCCACGACATGAAAAGTGTCCTCCAGTTTTCCTTTACAATATACTGGTCCTAAACACCAACAATATTTACTACCTTGGTCTGACATTTGAATAAAAATTGAATTTGGATCCACATATCGCGAAAATAAGGTAGTACTAAATTTAAGACTAAGACTTTTATATTCACATCCTTGAAAGCACTCAAAAGTAAAACATACAGAAATTTAATAGATGTGTACGTATTCGATGTATGTATATTGTATTGTCTATTCTTATTACTCACTAACTCATTTGGACCAAAAGCCATTTGGACTTAAGCGTCATACATTTTTGGAACAGGTAAAGAATTCATATTAGTAAACTAGAAATCTAGACAATGATCATCATATGCCGACTGTTAACGAAGATATACGAACCCGTTATAAAAGAAGGTTGAAGAGGAGCTTGATGAGTGACCTCCACGCTTAACAATTTTTTATTTTATTTGTTTGCACTTTCATTTATTTATCCATACCTGTCAATTACAACTATCGACAATCAGCACATGTGCTGGCGTAGTAATGAGAGAAAAAACAAATAAAATAATAAATAAAAAAAATAAATAAAAAGGCTTGATAGGCATGAAGAATAGCAATATTCAGCGGTATCACTTCCATGGCTTTTATTTATTAAAACATTATTTAAGTAGATCCCTCATCCAGACCCTTTTCAGTCGTCTTCTGGAGTTCTCGGGCATACTAGTTGTGGCCATTTATTTTACCAGCTGGTTGGAGTGCTCGTTTAACATGTTATGAAATCGTTTGTAGTACGTTCGTATGTGTTCATTGACTGTCGGAGCGTGTAAGTCGGTGTGTAAAGTGTGATTTTTTACGTACCATGGTGCTTGAGTGATTAATCGTAGTATCTTAGACTGAAAAGTTTGAAGTTTTTTTATGTGTGTTGGTTTTTCAATTCCGTATATTTGCAGTCAGTAAGTCCAAATAGGTTTTAAAAGATATGTGTAAATACTTAGTTTCTGTCTTGCGTTTAATATGGAATGTCGTCTTAGCAGTGAATGTAACAATTTTAGTCTTAGATTTAATGTGATTCGTTTTTTCATCACATGTGGACCCCATGTCATTCTCCTATCGAACGTAAGGCCTAGGTATTGTACTCTGTCTGTTTGTGGAATCGGTATGTTGTCTAAGTATACAGGAGGGCATGTTTCTGGTCTTAGAGTAAATGTGTGCTGTGACTTTTGATAATTTATTTGAGTTTTCTAAAGTTTACACCAATCGAGAGTTGTAAGTTAAGTGATGCCTATGTAGGATTGTCGGGCCTGGTAATGATAGCAGTGTCTGCGTAGGTTGTTGTAAGAGTGTGGATACTTTGAGGAATGTCGTGTGTGTATGTTATGTACAGTAGTGGGGCGCTTAACAATTATTATAGATTTCACGCCAGGAGGAGGTGCCGCTGGGTAATGCTCCCCTCACGCTTCTCCTGCAATCGTATCTGATATTACTATCTAATTCGCTGATTGTTAATACTATTTTTGACAAGCATGAATAAAAAAAAAATATTTGAATAAATACAAATTTTATTGATGAAAGAAATGAGACTGAGATGGTACGCCATGTGAGACGAATGGGGGACGATAGAATACCAAACATAATTATGGGTTGGGAGGCAGAGGGTAGAAGAAGAAGAAGACCCCCAGTTAGATGGAAGGACAGAGCGGTGGAGAGTATGGCTGGTAGTGAACTGTCGGAGGAGGATGCGATGGACCGGCAGAAATGAAGAGATTTTCTGAAGCCGGAGTTTGGTTGAGGAAAACTTCATATTGAAGAAATTCATAAGGAAAAAATATTGGGGAAGGGGAGGAGGGGGAACTTTAGTTTTTGATATTATGTAAAGTTGTTCGGAATGCTATTTTTCAAAAACCTTTTTAAGGAAATTCTTGACATAACTTTTACTTTATTGGGGTTACCAATATATCGACAACCAGACTGTAAAATCCTCATAGTACTGAAAATAAAATAATTCTTACCAGGAATAAACCGCGAATTCTTATTTTATGAAAAACATTTTCTGTTCTTTTTTTAATTCATACTTAAGACAAAGTTGTAATGTTTTAGTTTTTTCTATTTTGTATTTCTGAGTATGCAAAAAGCTAACATTGCCTAGAAAAGCTCAAAAACGTTGTTTCTAATAATGATGTACTTACATGCTTTGCAACTATCGATACTATTTGAACAATTAAATACATAAAAATACATACACGTCCAAATACATATAAGCATATGCCACATTTCAGATTTGCCAATGCATTTATCTCGTTATAGCTACTAAAATTGTGTATATTTTAGTTTTTGATAAATTGACGCATCGAATGAGATTGGACCTTACAGTTCTCAAAATGTAATACTTCGAAGATTTTTATGTACTCGTACTTAAATAAAGTCTTCCCTTATTATGTTAAAGAAAGTTAATGAGAGCAGGATAGCTCAGCAATGTGATCTTTATCTCCTAAGCTTGAGTTAGAGTTAGGCTGTGTATATTTGCCATATTGACGCTGAGAGTTCCTCCTTGGGCACATCCATCCTCAGTAAATCTATAAAGTGGGTACTCTTCATTCTGAGATATTTTAACCTAAGATCCCTTCCGAGCTATAGTGGTTTGGAATTTTTTTCTTAAGTTTAACGGAAGTTAGGATAGGATATTACTCGATATGTTGCAGTTTCTTGATTATATAGGTCATGGATTATGAGTCTTACCAATTAACTCAGGGACATGTCATGCCGATATCCGAACATCTGCATATTTACCATAAATTAATACTTACATCATGTTTTGCATTATGTTAGCTCAAGTGATGCATTGATAATATCTGGAGGAATTCCATGCTCTGAGATTATAGTCTCAGTTCAACATGATCTGGTTTTAATTTTTTATATTCCCCCATGTTTACAAACCGCAATTAGTGCTCTCAAATTATTGGAAAATATCAATATTGTTTTTTAAGAATTTATTAATTTTTCCATCTGAAAAACATACTATAGTCTATAATTTTATGCATACAATTAAATCTCTATTCTACTCGTGATCAGCTTATTTTCGGATATATGTCATTGTAAGACTCATAGAATTTAGAACGCTCGTCCGTCGAAGAAATAAATGATTTATATGGTACACTAATTTAAGAAAATAAAAAGGTAATACTGATATAGGTAACATCGCATCGTGGTATCCCCTAACATTTTATCGAATTATTAGCATTTGTTTAAAACTTTTTGAATGAATTCATCTTACCTATAAACTTTTTATCTACGAAAATTCTCTGAAATGGGTCGTTTTTTTTCATTAAATGAATCACTTTTATGAGGTAGTAAAATTTCATAAGTACCCATTTGCTCTCCATTTGAATCGAAAAAAAAAAAAAGGTGGCCTCTATAAATTTTGAACCGTTTGGCCTATATAATCTTGCTCGTATATATAATCTATTTAACCTTTTGATATGTATTGGATGAAGGTTACGCCAAAAGGCCAATATTTTTGTAGGACACCTTTTTTCTAAGTTTGTTACTTTACGATTCAAGTGGAAAGTAAATGGGTGTTTAGTACCTTATTACTAAATTATGTCGGCAAAGTTTGAAGGTATCGAAATCGAAAACATCCCAATTTCGAGAATAAGTAAAAAAAGTTTTAGGTTACGATGAGATGAAGCTATTGACGAAGTTTTCGGCGGATGTTGATAATTTGATAATAAGGATTCTGTACCATGGACTATAATGCTAATTAAACAATAAGATAATAAGATGCCCCATAAACAACAATAGCTTAGACCATATTCGGTTCAGAATGAACACATAATCTTGTCTTATATAAATAAATAAATAAAATGTGCACTCGATGGAAAACATGAAAATGAAGACGAGAAGAATTCATCGTCTGCCGTCTTCGTATTCTGACAATGTAATTTTTCCCGCGGATACCTTATGAGAGAATTGAAAACACCGACGTCTCCCCATTACGAAGCGATCTGAAGGGTATAACAAATACTTCTGGAATGTAGTAGCTACACTAAACCAAGGCAACGTCTAAAGATGCGACAGCAATAGAAGAATTCCTGCAGGCCTATGAAAAGGAAATTAGGAAAGTTATTTGAAGATGTAAGAAAAATGGATTTATACAACAGGATTTTATAATTTTGATTTAACATAGCTGTATGACCGACCTTAAGTATAGAGGCAAATTAAGCAAATAAATATTTATAACTAATTAGCATGATTTACAATCTTAATATTATGTTAAATATAGTTTTAAATGTTTATTTACTTAAATCAGTATGTTTTTTACCGATAAATTTAAGAGGAGAGTACTATTTCAATCATAAGAATAATTTTTATATACTTCACCCGCTCCTATCAATCAGTCAGTCAGCTCTTGGGAAGAATACTAGTAGTAGCATTGATCGATGGGAGGGAAAGGAGTGCCCAGCGGCCTCCTTGATTTTAGTATACTTTTTTAAGCCAGAAGATCCCTCATTCAGCTTCTTTTGACCCTTCTAAGCATGTTTATTATAGCTAAATTTTGTATGGGTGTATTAGTATGGCCATGTTGGTTAGCGTGCAATATTTTGTAGTGTGTCCACTTACGGTCGTTGACTATTAGCCTGTGAATGTCTTCATGTAAATTAATGTTTGTGACATACCATGGAGCACATATAAATAAATTCAAGATGACTTTTAATTTTTTTTTTGTTTTTGCTTTATATTTAAACTGCATCGAAAACAAAAATCTTAAGTGTATGAATGTTTAATAATTAACGGTTTCATTCTCATTCATTCTGACAGAAAAAAATATATACATATATATGTATATGACTAATAAAAAAAAAAATAAATAAAGGAGGTGTTCGATTTTCATTTTCACCTTTCCTCGTCCTGTTATCAGCGACAGGGGTTTAACCATCATTGACGTACTGTGCTAAATGTGATTATGCGCAGGAACATAATCAATTTTTTTTTTTTTATATCAGTCGATAATTAATATATTTTCCAGAATAATTACAGAATTAGAAAGAAATAATGCATTGTTTAATAATTGCTAAAAATAAATTAATATCGAAATTCTAGTAAAATGTTACCTTATACTTTTATTTTTTTCTTATCCATAGTCATAAAATTTGGTAAGTTGAATTTTATTAGGCTTGGATAGTAAGCATCTACTTTATCTTTCAATGAAGCTTATTATTATAAAATTTAATAATAATTACATTTCCTTTTTATGAAAATTGTAAATAAAAATATTTTTAGACGTATTGCTGTTTATTACTTCTTATATGTAAAATATGTTTGTTCAAACAGTTGATTATTAGCCCAATTTCATTTATTGCTACGAAATTAAAAAAAAAAATATGCATTAAATTTAAATTTATTACGAATTTCGAAACTCATTGGAAACTTATTTTATTTTGCCATAAAATAAATCCTTTTAATGCAGAGCAATAGTTAGGATTGTTAGCTGATTGTCAACAGGAATCACTTAAAAACCAGAACTTTTACCTAAAAATGTACTCAAATGACACAAATACAAACACAAAAGAATTGAGGAGTCTAAATAATTGAAAATTGGTTTACCAATTAATTAAAAATGTATTTATTAAAATCTAAATATTGAATGTATGATATCTATATTTGACGTTTGATTTCGAAATCATAATAACTTATCAGCAGTTGCGCCAGAGTACTAAGTGCATTTTTGTAATTTTTGATATTTTGAATCATTAGTGTACAATTTTTTAGCTTTTTCAAAAATAATGATAGTGCTAAAACGTTTCGATCGTGGTAATTATATAGGTACTTTATATATATATATATATATATATATATACACACACACACACACACACACACACACACACACACACATATATATATATATATATATACAGTTATTTAGGCAGTATCAATCGATTATACTTAAAGAATTCTAAAGAAAAGCAATTGTACGAGTTGATCACATCTTAACTTCTGAAAATATTTCGTTTCTGACATTAGTTATTTATTTAAATTCATAATGGGGTTCATATAAATATATTTTTTAATTAAATTGATTTCATAAGAAGATGTGTTCATATTTATTTGATTCTTAATGATGTTGGGTATTGTGAAAAAATAAAAAAGTCGTAATTAACTATTTTTATAAAAAATGTATTTTCCTTCGGAAAATTATAAAAACGTACTATTTACAAAACAATATTATATAAATCATTAGAACTAATAGTGGTGATCATGATGTTCATGATGATGCTTGAAGAAGGTCTCAGTAGATCCTTTTACATGAGGATGGACAGCGTGTCCTTTCCTCTCTACGACGGCGTTGAAACCGTTCTTCTTGTCTGCGGTGTAGTGGACGATCCTCTCGGTACCATCGGGTTCGTAGAGGGAGTAGTAGCCCTTGACCACGTCTCCTTCCCTGGTCTCTTCCTGCTTCTTCACGTCGTGGGTGTGGGAGTCATGAACTCCGTAGTCGAATTTGTACTTTGGGTGGGCCTAAAAAAATAATTATTATTAATTACACAACCACTATAAAAATATGCAATGGAAGTTTTGTTTGGTATAGTAAAATACAAAGATACCGTAACTATATAAATTAGATATTGTTAATAAATACTCACGTAGTAATCTACGATATGTTCTTTGTGCTCTTCGTGGTGCTCATGGTTTCCGTATTGAGCGGCGGCTGCTCCTACCAGGCACAGAACTAACGCTGCCTGAAAGTAAACATTGTGTTTTTTTAAAATGTATTACTAATAATTTTATTACTAATTAATTATTAATAAAATAGCTCAAGTACCTTGTACATGTTGACTAGTTGACTGTTCTTTTTCGAGTGTATAATGTGGTTCCTCTCACCAGATTTTATATTGTCCCTTCCCCCCTCCAACACCCGTACTTATCAGATTTGGTAACAGGAAACTGATTCCGTATTACCGTTTTCATTCTTTAAATTTCCTAATATGTTTCTATTTAAATAAATATATGTATGGGATATTCCTCGCATCAAATTGTTCCATTACGTTTTACAGATCCTTATTTTATTAAATTCGATGAATTTTTAATATTAAATGTAATACAACATCACACACTTCTATTATGTATTATGTATTATCTATTATGTAAGCATGATAAATGGTGACTATTGTAATTTAATGATGTAGAGATGGTTGACCGTGATATGATATGAGAAGGAATCGATCGGGGGTGCGGTCAAATAAATACTAAATTAAATAATACTATTGGTATAATTTAGTATTTATTTGACCACAACCCCGATCACCTCCTTCTCATATTATAATTTAATATTTTTGAATGATTTGTATGATTTGAGTATTGTATACGGAACAAGAGGAGACATCGGTTTAGGTTTTGACATGCACACACATGTTTAGATTTAAAAATTATCTTGTTTTTATTATGAAGAAAAGTTTTTCATAGTACAATATTAATTTAATGATAAATGGAAAATTGAAATAAGTATATAACAGGCATGAGTAAGAATAAAACCCAGCAGGACATCTTTTCTGATCTGATTCAGTTAATTTAGTTTATTAAGAAATATCTTTATATAAGTACCTATTAACAAAACATTTTAATTTATACTTAAAGGGGACACAATCAAACTAGAAATGTATATACTTATAGTCAGCAGCCAATAAGAATATACATCAGCAGAGCTTCAGAATTTCCCTGAAATTTTCCACCATTATCACCTTATGGTGTTCATTTGACTAGGCCAATTGCACTAATAAGCTATCACTAAAATATAAGGAAATTAATTTAGTTTAATTTTATTTTGTCGATGACAAAGTTCTAACTGTATTTTAAAAAATTGAATATAAAATCGAGGGCACAGTATTTTGTTATTAAATCTACTTTAAAAGTCAATTTATAGCCATTTAAATTTATGAGAAAAATCCTGGAAAGTATTATTACAAACGAAAAAAGTTTTAGAACTTTAAATTTTCAAATTCATCTTTCTCAAAAACACTGTCATCACCAGATATGCTGATGACACATGTATTTTATCAGTTAATAACGACCCATCTATTGCATCCCAAACCCTTCAATCCCACATCACAAACCTTGAAGAATAGTGTCAGAACTGGAGAATTAAAATAAATTCCAATAAATCCCATCAAATTACCTTCACCCTTCGTCGTAAACCAATGACTTCCTGTCCTTCAGTATCCTTTAACAACACCTCACTTATTCCTGTTGAACAAATCCGTTACCTAGGACTCCATCTGGACAAACGTCTAACTTGGAATCCTCATACCAGACTGAAACGACAAGAAACAGCTCGACGTTTCTGACTACTTCAACACTTACTAGACAAACGCTCTAACCTTCCAATCAATTATAAAAGACTGATTTACATGACTATAATAAGGCCTATTTGTACTTACGGGGTTGAGCTCAGGGGCTCCACCAAGCCTTCAAATTCCTCTCGCATACAGTCCTTGCAATCCAAAATCCTTCGTAAAATCCTCAATGCTCCTTACTTTGTTACAAATAAAATTATCCATAATGACCTTAATGTTCCTTATGTATCAGGTTTGGCCCAATCCAGATATCTGTCCTTCCATAATAAACTTCATAACCACCCCAACCCTCTTGTCTCTAACCTTGCTTCCTATTCGATTCCTGATAACCCTCTGAGGCGTCTGAAAAGAAGATGGCCACGTGATATTCTAATATAGACATATTATTAGAGTGCTGCCAATGGGCAGTTTCTCAACATGTGTTCCATATCTTTATACCAATGTGCGAATTTACCAGATGTATTTTTTGTATACAGTTGTAAATATCATTTAAAAAAAAAAAAAAAAAATCTTTCTCAAAATTGAGGTTAGACCAGTTAGATTTCTGTTAAACTAAACTAGCGTTTTCTTGGTCATAAAAACAAAATAAAAAAAATTATTAATTTCATATAAATACGTACAACTGGTTATAGTTTGTTATTCTGAAAATTTTATTCATGATTGTTGCCTAAAGAACTTGATTTCTCTATTATAATAATTAGAAATAAATATATTTATTTTATTATCGAAATACTATTAAACTCCCGGAGTACATTTCATTTCTGATCTCTTGAAGACTACTTACTCAAATCTAAACTATACTTGTTTAAAAAGAGTAACTGTGTTTATAGCTGGTATGGTCGCATTTTTTTACGATTTATTACTGACAGTTCAGCGGGGTCAATGATGAAATGGTAGTTAGTTGTTGAGTTTAGAAACGCAAAGAATTTAGCTTCTTTCGTTGAATAAACTCCGAATACACAAGCTATTTGGAAAAAAACACGATGAATTGTGCGGTTCCATCATCTTCATTGCGTGTTTGTTGAATATGGCATTGAATTTCGTCTTTGAGATGGTTGAATGAAGAAACTTATATACAAAATTTTGGGTCGCGTTTTATATTAATAAATCATGAATTTCTGTCTCAGCAAGAGTCATCAAATAGGGATGGAGTGTTAAATATTAGATGGTCATAGCTATAAATCAATAATTTATAGAAAGCCTATCACACATATTCGTTTCATAATAGGTTATTAACATTTTTTTTATTAACATAACACTTAAATATTTTATTTGTTTATTAATAATGGTTTTGGTGAGAAAAGTAATCTAGCGTTGGTTTTTCTATTTCAATCTAATAATCAAACTTTTTTTTTCATATTAGGATCGTGGTTTGATGGCTAATGCAAAAATGTATCTGATATTAGTCGATAGATAAATCATCACAATAATCAGGAGTTCTTTTATCTAAACTAATACCTGGTTCTTAAGCTCTTTATTCACTGCTATAAAACAAATTAATTTTTTGTTTATGGCCGGAACCATTGTTGTAGATAAGGTTTGATTGACATCAATAACCTGGTTGGATTTTTTCACGATACAGAAAATCTATGTCTAATGTGATTTGAACTGTTGTTACTATTGATTATGGGCGGAAAAAATATATAATTTAAATTATAAAATGAGAATCATTTAATCAATACAATAATTCTCCTGCTTCAAATATGATTTAGTTTTCATCAAACAGCTAATAAATAACCGTATTCGTAGTAATTTAACATCAATTTAGTTCCCTGCTTAGAATTATATGTTAACACCAATCGCCAATGATATTTTTTTCACTGCATTACTTAATATTTTTATTTATTTTTTTTTATAACCCGAAATCAGTAATGCACCGGCATTATATTTCCTGTTTGTTTTGAAATATATTATAATTTTGAATCAGTTAGTCAATTGGTGGCCTATATGCCTATGTGTGGAAACAAACCTGGCGTTACTTTTCCTAGGAACATGAATTTGCTTTCACTCTATTGCCGAATTTTATAAAAGCGAGCAGTATTAAGTCCAAAATACTTTTTCATCAAATAGACTGTGTATTTGGACAATAGTTAAATATAGTGCAAATTAAAAGAAAATAAAACGTATCATAGTTTAGCTTAATATTAATTTATATATATATATATATATATTATTTTTTTGTTAACACATAGATTTTTTTCTACGTTTTATTACTAGTTTTTTTGTAGATAGAAGGGTTGTGGAAATATTTAATATTATTTTTTTAACAATGAACAGTTTTTAAACAATAAATATCATTTATATTACATATTCAGATATTGTTCACTTATCTGCTTAAATCTTGAATTTTAATGTTTAAATTGTTGGTATTTTTATTTTAATAAATTAAGATGTCACTCCTTGTAGAATGATTCATTAGCTAATTTTTTTCCATTAAATTCAGAATAAAAATTAATATACATTTTACATGAACATGTCTGTCATTTTTAAGGAAATGATACATTATTATATACAATTTAAGTATTATGTTTAATAATACGTTCCCGACTCATTTATGATAATGAATTCATATTGGTTGTATTATTGAAGTAAAACAACAATAATATTTATTATAAATGGTATGATTTTTAAAGAAAATAATAAACTATCTATTCTAATTTTTTTTTTTTTTTAATGAAATTTTCATCTATAATACATTAAAAATACAACAAGTAAATGTGACATTGGTAACTTGACGTATACAACATGAAGAGAAACTACCCATTGGTAGAACTGAAATTCTAAATATAATGTGTATATTGCAATATCTTCTATTGAAATATAATTTTTTTTAAATTTAACATCCAATATATGTATTTGTGCGGTATTGAAAAGGTTAGAAATAAATGTTCTAAATGTGACAACTTTTTTTCTCATTCAATTGAGAAAATGTTCCATGCATTAAGAATTGCTTTCATTTTCAAGACCTCAAAAATACCACAGAATTAATACAATAAGAATAAAGAATAAAAATGAGTAAATGGGTATATTGTTATTTGTATATTGATAACCAGAATCCAACTACCCATATGTAAAGGATTAATTTATTATATGTAAATAAGATAAATAAACAACGCATATATAAAATTGTAACAAATGACCTAAACCAATAAAATCTAGCTACCGCAATCATTCTTAATACTTATAGTTTATTAATGTCCTCTTCGTTGATAATTACGTGCATATGTAGAAATATATAAGACAGTAAAATACAATGCAGGTGCTACTGGCGATTTCGGAAGACGAAGTGAAGAGACCATCTTTTTTGCTTGGGAGTAAAGGCTTTCAAATTTTTCAAGCGAATTATAAATATATGAGTAAGAAAACTATGTACGACAGAAATTTCAAGAGTACTGTCATTATATCAATTATGATAAAACTATATTTATTTAGCTTTATCAATTAACGAGGATAGTAATAATGAGAACAGGATAAAAATACCATCTTCGTAATCAGATTTTCCCCTGTATTATAATCCAAGTTTTCATAACTTTTTTTTTTTGTATTAGTAACTATTTATATTGATACAAAGTTTAGAAAATGGGTTGCTTGATAATTTTTTTTAATAATCAATACAAATATATTTCAAAAAGAAATTTATTTTTGAGGCATTTATTCAAAAATATGGCTAATAGTAAATTTTTAGTTCTGCAACTACCGTCATTATATCAACATCAACCGGTTAATTAATAAAAATTGTTGGTAAAAAATAACTTTGTTGTATATTTTCTCTTAAATTTAAATAACTTTTTTCATTATTTATTGTAGAACAACTCAAGACGATAGTAAACACAAAATAATATTTTTTTTTTAGATTCTGTGAAATTTATAGTAAAAAATAATAAAATATCATAATTGTTTATGAATTGGACTTTTTATTATTTCAGTTAAAAATTAATAAAGTATTAGAAAAAAATGCTATTTTTAGAAATCATTGAATGTTTTTTAAGACACAGATCGTTGTTCGATTTTGTATTTTATTAACAATTGTGTTATGAAGATATTTCAGCCTTGTTTACCTTGAAGGTAAAATACCTTGTATTTTATACAAAAGTAAAAAAATACCCTATTTACATCTCTTGAATTATTTAGCTAATAGTGATGACTTGAGTGTGAGGATGAAGACGATGCAGAACCGTGGTGGTAATGTGAACCTTCAGATCCTCCAGAACTTTCGGAATGACCATGTTGTTCATGATGGTGTTTGAAGTAGGACTCAGAAGAGTGTCCATAGTGCTGAGGGTGGACAGCGTGTCCTTTCCTCTCTACGACGGCGTTGAATCCATTGTGCTTGTCTGCGGTGTAGTGGACGATCCTCTCGGTACCATCTGGTTCGTAGAGGGAGTAGTAGCCCTTGACCAAGTCGCCATCTCTAGACTCCTCTTGCTTCTTGACGTCGTGGGTGTGGGGGTCATGGACACTGTAGTCGAACTTGTACTTCGGGTGGGCCTAAAAATGTATATTTTATCAATTACAATGTTCCGTGTTGGTTCATTCGGTGTGAATTACATACTTAAATTATCTACTTACGTAATAATCAACGTAGTGCTCTTCATCCTTCTCGTGGTGGTCTTCGTGGCCATGGTGACCGTACTGCGCCAAGGCAACTCCGGCCAGATATACGACTACCAGTACCTGCAATCATACTGCTAGTAGAATAGACTTAATTTTTGTTTTTTTAACAATATAATAATTTGTTATAAATAAGCACCTTGTACATGTTGACTTGTTTACTGTTGGATTATGAATGAACTATTATGTTCCCATCACCTTTTATAATCCTGACATTCTCCATCTTATCCCTACTCGATTGAGGAAATATGGTGCGCGCTGCATTCCTTTTTGGTTAATGCACTTTCAATTAGTTATAGTTCTGGTTATTTGTAATTTCGATAAGGCTTTATGAGGATCTGTTAAGTTAAGCTAATTAATATTCAATTTCAAATTGGCTCTGTGACTAGAATATCCTTATATTTTTTTGGTAATATTTGATTATGTTGAATCGTTATCTTAATAATTTTTCGAATGGTGAAGGGGGTAAATAGCAGTGGTGTAAGATGCCAAGAAACTCGCCCTAAGAAAATAATGGACTATATAGTTTAAGCCTCATCAGATGCTATGATTTATTTATTTTTGTTTGTTTATTTTTTATTTAGTTTATTTAATTTAACACATTTTGTATAATTATATTTTAGTCATTATCATTGTATCTCTGCTAATGAACTGTTCAACATTACCTTCCTTTGCTGTTTTAATATAACCTTCTCTTTTTTTTCAGTATGTTTATCGCTGACTACGAGACATTTAAATATCAAACTTCAATTTTTTTTTTTTTTTTGTTCTTTTTGCCTGTTTGATCTTTTTTTGGCTGTCCTGAAGATGCCTGAATTGGCGAAACGTTTGAGGGTTAACTTTTCACCTGTAGTTTAGAGACTCTTGGCTTTACAAGTTTGGATTTTTCCATCCATTACACACATCTATACATTTTTACAACTGAATTTTTTCTAGCCGTCTTGGTAAATTTTATTTTTATAGAACCGAAGTTCAGCCTCTAATTATTTCAAACTATTTATAATTTATTATTATAATATTTATTTATTGATACAATTAATACATAACTGCACATTAGAGTTAAAGCTTCTGTGACCTCAAAATGTTTCACAAAATTTTTCATTTTTAGTAAAATATGATTTATATCTAAATAAAATTTAAAATTTAAATTATCAAAAACAAGATATATATATCCGAATGTCTTTTGCAAAAAGATCCGTTGATCATACTCGGTTTTGCTTATGCTAATGAATTTTAAAATGAATTATTTTTTTGTATAATTTCATATATATTAGATGCCCCAAAAACAACCATAATATTACTAAAATATTTAATGATAAATATTTTAAATATCATTTGAAGAAGGGTCACATACTATAATTTCTGACATCATCTGAATCACTCTTTTTTTGCCCTGACTATTTCTGAATTAACATTACTTTGACTGCTTAGTTTATATTGCTATTTGAATGACTTAAATCTATGTCTCTCTTATCTTCCAATCTATAATTTTTGTGGCATTTTAATTTTTTTTTGTATTGTAATTTATTATTAGATATTGCTTAACGACCCTAAGAATAATTTAAAAATGTAATGAATAGTGTAAATAAAATTAATGACCATTTCCTTTTAGTTTAATAAAAACAAGACGCATCCTATTCGTTTTCTTATTTTGAGTTCTTATTTCAATTTGAGGTCATTCACTTTCTTTTGGTATGACTGTTTTTTTAATTTTATTATTATGTTTTTTTTTGTAAATACTAAATTAAAAAAATAATACGACATAAGTTGGCTTTCATTGAATTTATTTATATATATTTATTATTGGAATATATTATTTATTTACTTATTTATTCCTGTTTACTTTACCATATTGATATTCACACAAAAGGCTTTAAGTACAATTTTATATAGATATAATTTTATTGAAAAGTGTGTTTTCATTTCCTCTTAGCAATCTTGCTTTCCGACATAACTTGATAGAATGTCAAACAAAAAAGTTATTTTAAACATCCCATCACTTTATTAAGCGCCCAGTAAAGATGAAAAATTTAGTTTATAAATTTATGTATTATATATTATGCTTTTTATTTCTTATAAAAATGTTTTCGAAAATAAATGGTTTTGCCGTGTGGCTGTCGACATAAACATTTTAGCGTAAAAAACCGTACAAATATTTAATTTTAACTCAATTAATCGATACGATTTTCAAAGTATTGATTTCAATATGTTTTCTGTGTTGTTTTAAAAATTTTAATTAAGACAATTATGAACCATTTATTATTTCTACTTGTGTAAAAACTTTTTATGAATAAATTTTAATTTACTAATTTGATTCACATGTTTTTTTTAATTTTATCATGAATGTTGCTCTGTCAAATATAAACCTGTCGAGAAAGATGTTTAATTAATTTAGTTAATAGTTCATTCATAATTTATATTTTTTTATTTTAAGGATGTTTTTGTTATCAGTATTTTATGATGATGTTTTTATTCACATAACATAAATAAGTTGGTTGAAGAAATATTGTGTATATGTAATTAGTTAAACATTTTAAAATAATATTTATTATATATGTATACTTATGTGTGCCTTAAGATATGTGTACCTACAGACCTAATATTTTATTAGGCCTAATGATATTTACAAAACAAACAAAATCTATTTTGTATTAGGTATATGATTTTGTATAAAATTCTTTACTATTTATGATACCCTTTATTAATATTCTCCAAATTGTTTTTATAGGTGAGTATCCTCAACGTAATGAAGCTAAATTGAAACATATAAGGTATTTTCTGTACTATTCTCGATTTTTATTATCACCTTAATTTTTTTAAATCTGACATAAATATAAATATAAAAACTGAATGCCTATGCATAAAAGAACTCACAGGTTGATAATCTGCTGCCAAAGGGTCGCATTTGACCTCTGCGAGCTAGTTGAGGCCTCCGTTTGTTTTTACGCGATATTCATAAATATAGCAGTATAATAAATTAGTATATAATTATTTGGATTACGAAAATTAATAGAATTTAGTTGAATATATGTATATGAGTGTGCTTTTACATATAAATAGAAATCACTACAGTTAATCATAAAAAGTTATAGTGGTCTCCATTATGACTGCCCAACTAAAATGTGGTCTCTAAACATTAAAAAGATTTTCGCCTCCTGCCCCGAAATTAAAAATTAGAATTTACAAAACCATTATCTTGCCTACAGTTCTTTATAGATGCGAAACGTGGCCGCTTACATTAAGGGATGAGCAACGCTTTGAAGTTTTTGAAAATAAAGTATTGCGTAGAATATTCGGATCGAAAAAGGATGAGTCAACTGGAGAATTTAGGCGATTACACAACGCTGAATTGGGTGAATGGTATCCGGTTAATATAATTGAGGTGATTAAGTTGAGGCGAATAAAAAGGGGCATGTAAAATCGCTGGGTTCAGTATCAAAAGAATTCCTAAAAAATTAATATGCGCTGTACCGACTGGGAAGCGTCCAATATGTAGACCAAAGCGAAGATGGGTAGATTGCGTTAAGGCTGATTTGGCGGGGTTGGGTTTAGACGGAGCCCCTTGGATGAAAAAATTTGGACATCGATTAGTGGTATCGAACCTTCAGGTTCGCCAAGCCTTATTATTATTATTATTATAAAATGTACAATCCCAAACTTATAGTTTTACCACTATTTAGTTTATAAATGACCGCCACTCCGGATCATCTCCTCCCTTAATAATACAATGTTCAACTATTAAATATTCAACTAACTTATTAAGACTTAAGGTAGTGGAGAATGACGAAAAACGCATGACTAAAGTTATTTAACGAAAAAAAATACCTTCATGGATACTAAAAGGAAACTTTTACAACTATTTTAAAGCTGTATATACCAAAAATATATAATTTTACGAATTCTATTATTGAACACATAAAAATTATTTCATCATACGTACACTTCAAAAACACTGGTAATATATCAAGCATTTTTACAAGCTAGAAATTTCATAATGATAACTTCAAACATCTATATTCTGATCAAATTTCCTCTGCCAATACATTCAAATATTTAAATATTAACTAATCCTATTTAAGAAACAATGTTATTATTATAGTATGGTAGTAACTGAAAGTTATGTGATGAGTACGCTGCACCATTTTATATATTTTTACAATTTGAATGAAAACTTGATTATCCGCTAGCCTTCCGAAATTTATACTATCTTAAGGAGTTTCTTTCAATTTTTAAGTCAAAGAGTTATCGAGTGAAAAATTGTCCTTCAAGTACAAGAAAAACAAATGAACAAAAAAATATTAAAATATCAGGTACTAGGTTAACATGTTAACCCATTGATATCTTATTTGTGCAAATATGCCCTTCAATTTCAATATTACCAATTTTTGTTTTAATTTTTGAATATATGATTTTCCAAGTCTATAATTTCCAAGTCAATAATTTATGAGATGCACTTAATTAATTTTACAGCATCTAAATTTAAACAAATGAATAAGAAGTAGGTTTTCATGATTGGAAAACATTTATTAATTTTAATATTTTATATTTTTTTATAAAAATTTATTTACATTAAAATCTCCTATACATGCTTAAAATTAGTAGTGATGATCGTGGTGTTCGTGATGGTGCTTGAAGAAGGTCTCAGTAGATCCTTTTACATGAGGGTGGACAGCGTGTCCTTTCCTCTCTACGACGGCGTTGAAACCGTTCTTCTTGTCTGCGGTGTAATGGACGATCCTCTCGGTACCATCGGGTTCGTAGAGGGAGTAGTAGCCCTTGACCACGTCTCCTTCCCTGGTCTCTTCCTGCTTCTTCACGTCGTGGGTGTGAGAGTCGTGTACTCCGTAGTCGAATTTGTATTTTGGGGGAGCCTAACACCATAAAAATTATTATTGTCTAAATGATTACAAATATATTTTTTTTGCATCAATAATTAATATATTCGTCTTAAATAACTTACATAGTAGTCAACAACATGCTCTTCGTGATGTTCATGGTGTCCGTATTGAGCGACGGCAACTCCTACCAAGCAAAGAACTAGCACTGCCTGAAAGCATATAAAATCCGTCAAAGTTTATAAAAACAGAAATTGTAGTTCACTACATAAAAAACATTATGCTAAGAATTCTATTCACCTTGTACATTTTG